GACATGGGAATGCAAAATGCACAGCAAAATGCAACGCGCCCTTTTTTCACGCGTCTTGAGCCACAATCAATGGCACGGTTGAAGTCATGACCAAACGTCAGGCTTTGAAGACTCGGTGGTTGAATCTGCCATCAAACGTCAAGCTTTGAAGAAACTGTTTGAACGATGAACCTAACGATGAACCTGACAGGCAAGAGGCAAAACATAATCTTGATTACAATTTTTCTGGATTCAAGATTCTGGGGAAAAGTTTTTGAATCCAAGCCCTTGAATGTTGGGGTGCTGGATGTCAGTCAGAGCTTGGGTTCAAGAACGATTCCCAAGAATCGTGAAATCCAAAATGCTTGCAAAGTTTGCGCAGTTCCTGAAACCATCTGAAACCCGAAGCCTGAAACAAGAAAATGATAGAACCAACATATACAACATGAAATATGACATCTTTCCTCAAAACGGTTCATTTACAGAAACCGTTGAGACATATTTTTTCATGTACAACTGACTCTACATGAGTTGTTCTAAGTATAACATTGCCTTTCTGAAGTACACTTGCAAAAATGTATCTAATGAAATCAGGCAACTTCAAAAATAGGAAATATGATATATGCGAATGAAAAAGGAGAAAGGCTAATCTGCAGAAAATACTGACAAACAAAACTATAGGGAATGGCTGTGGACGTCAATCACACGAGCTAGGGGATTAAGCACCAGTAAGTTTAGTTTATATACAGTGACGATACTGAAAATGTGAATCAATGATGTATCACAAGTTTTTTTAATAGGCGGGTTGAACAATATACAATACAGGATACAAAGGGTAAAAGAGAAGTACCTGAGGAAGGTTACATTGATGTCCAATGGTTTATAGACAGCATAACCATGCCAAACAATGTAATTACTGTGGATGTGGACTTAAAATAGATTTAAGCAGAGGGTAATGTATCAGTTGCATTGCTTACTGTGATAGATGCGATAGTAATTGTAAATGAATAGTCTTTTAAAGTAAAAAATGTTGTATAAACAAACATTCGAAGAAATAGTGGGAATACTATTGAATGGGCCGCGACTTAATTTTCGATTTTTTGTTGTTTTTTGATTTTTCTTTTTTCGTGTTTCGTGGCGGGTACAGTACTTTCTGGACCTTGCAAAGCACATTTCGTGGCAGGTGCAGAACTTTGTGGGCCTTGGAGTGCAGATTTTGTGGCAGGCGCAGGACTTTTTGTGGGCCTTGAAGTGCAGATTTCGTGGCAGGCGCAGGACTTTTTGTGGGCCTTGAAGTGCAGATTTCGTGGCAGGTGTAGTACTTTGTGGCCCTTGGAGTGCAGATGTTGTGGCAGGCGCAGGACTTTGTGGACCTTGAAGTGCAGATTTCGTGGCAGATGCAGGACTTTGTGGATGTGGAAGTGTAGAGTTGGTGGCAGGTGCAGGGCCTTGGAGTGCAGATTTTGTGGCAGGCGCAAGACTTTGTGGACCTTGAAGTGCAGATTTCGTGGCGGGTGCAGTACTTTGTGGATGTTGAACTGCAGAAAGATAGAAAGATAGAAAGATAAATGGATAGATAGATAGATAGATAGATGGATAGATAGATAGATGGATAGATAGATAGATAGATAGAGGCATATTTGCTTGGTTAGAAAGTTTTGCACCGGGGAGTTCACCTTAAAATACTGATTTCGTGGCAGGCGCGGGTGTCGGGGATGAAGTGCAGATTTCGTGGCGCGGGGGGGGTTAGGGGGGGCGCAGCGCCCCCCCCAGCAGCACACCAGATCCAAAGGTGATCAGCTCGTGCTTGCTTGCTTGCTTGCTTCCTTGCTTGCTTGCTTGCTTCCTTGTTTGGTTTCGTCTCTGCAACGAAAACAACAGGAAAAGCAAATGCAAAAAGAGAAAGGAGAACAGCTGCCAAAAAGAAAGAAAGAAAGAAAGATAGATAGATAGATAAATAGATAGATATAGACAGATAGATATAGACAGATATATGGATAGGCCAAAAGCCAAAAGCCACAAAAGCCACGAAAGCCAAAAGCCACAAAAGCCAGAAGCCACAGAAGCCAGAAGCCACGAAAAAACAAAAAAAGATCCAAAAAAGGAAACACAAAAAAAAAATAAATGGCCCTCCCTATTGAATATATACTAGGTAATGGATGCTACTAAACAGTAGCAGTATTGCAAAGGACAATGGTAGCTGTGTGTGATACATTTTAATCTAGAAAATATTCAAAGTCAGGAGGTCAAGGGGGAACAAAGATTGTGTATGGAAAAAAATCATAGTTGCCTCGCGCTTAACTTGTCAGTCTGCCCAAGGTTAGTATAGATGGTGATATTAGTATGTTCGATTACTACCACTTTGTGATAAGAAGTTATAGGGAGCAGCTTTGGACAGCAATCACACGAGCTAGGGATTTAAGCACAGTAAAGTTTCTTTTTTATACAGTGATGATACTGAAAATGAATTGAATCAACGATGTATCACAAGCTTTTTGAATAGGCGGGTTGAACAATATACAATACAGGATAGAAAGGGTAAAAAAGAAATGCCTAAGGAAGGTTATATTAATGTCCAATGGTTTATGGAAAATTTAACCAAACAATGTAATTACTGTGGATGTGGATTTACAATAGATATTCAAAAAATTGCTAATGTATCAATTGCAGCTTACTGTCATAGATGTAATGGTCGGTTTAAATGAATAGTTACGCAATATAACTGCTTATTGTGTATAACATGTCAAAACGTATTTAAAGAGATATATACTAGGTAATGGATACTACTAAACAGTATTGCAAAGGATGTCAGAATAACAGAACACTAGAGATATTTCCTGAAGGGTCTAAAACCTGCGACAGTTGTAAAAGCAAAACAATCAAGAAGATATGACAATAAATGCTCGTCACCCACACCTGTACACGGCTCTACAATGTGCCTTGCAAGCTCAAAAAGGTAGGTCCCGGCGGGGGTCGCATATACAAAAAAAGATACTATATAGAATTTTAATTCTAATAGCTTTTTGTTACTACTAGTAAGGCACCTGTTACTACTAGCGTGGCACCTGTTACTAGTAACAAGAACGCTACTAGTATCGTTTAGGAAGAGATGCCATGGCTTCATCTACCTTAAAAGCCGTCTGGTAGTTGCTGTGGATCCCCTCCATTTCCCGGCACCAAGCTCCACCTCTTGCTCCACCTCTTCCTCCGCCCCCAAAGGGGAGAACCGGGGACATGGCCCACTCCTCGCTCTACAACCACAGTGGATGCCAGATCATTGTCTAGAGCCATGCGTGGCGCAGAAGGTGTGCGCCGCACGGTGTGGCAAAACGGTCTGCGATGAGAATTCCAGGACCCTCAAGAAGCAGGTCACCAATGAGTTCGACACCTGCAGTGGGGCCCAACCCTCAACTAGTCAGACCTGGCAGGGAGCACAGCAGATGTTCCTGTTGAAGTTGCACTGCAGCCCCAAGATGAAAAAATCGCGGCCTCCGAACCCCTTCACTTCGCGAGGTGATGCCGCTCCTTCACTTCGCCCCAGATGAACTTGCAGCCCATGCGCGTCTGGCGGGAAGTTCGCGGCTGTCCCGTTTGGTCGATCAAAAGGACTCCCAAGGGAGTAGCAAAGGACTGGCATCAATTGTGGGTCTATGTGAGGGGAAAATCATTGATGTCATGAACATAGCCATAGACCCACCAACCACATTGAGACCTGTGTCTTGTGGGATTTGATGGTCTATGTCGAGAAGCTTTGTTGATGTTCCCATCCCCAAATGGCGCAACCGGTGGCTTCGTGGTCTTCTGCCCTTCGTTGGTGGGATGTGAATTGGTCCCCCAACAAAATGACCCCTTATGATCGATCCTAAGGGACTAAATTGGTGGGGTGTGCATGGCGCGTGGTGCATTGGTGTTGTCTCTTGGAGGTTGGCTTTTCGATAGAAACACCTGACACGACTCTGCCGAACACCTGACACTGATGCGATCATTTTCCGAGGACTCATACGCACATACAAACATGCATGCATATACTGATTATTCATCACATTCAAAAAGAAAAGATAATCACAACCTTCAAGAATCAAGACATATCGAGTGACAACCTTCAAGAATCAAGGCAATATCAAGACTCTGCCTCGATCACGGGCTGCAGGGTGAAGGTCAGTGCGTCCAAGTGCTTTGGCTTCACATAGGCGCGCAACACTCCCGGGGTGTATTCGAAATACTCCTCGCACGTTCTTGTTTCCGGCTGCTGCGCAGAGAAGTCGAAAAACCCCGAGTCGACCTGAAACTCAGCTTAAGCCCAGGTGAGTGGATGCTTAAGCCCAGGTGAGTGGATGCTTAAGCCCAGGTGAGTGGATGCTTAAGCCCGGGTGAGTGGATGCTTAAGCCCGGGTGAGTGGATGATGAGTCTAAGAACTAACATGGATATTACAACATGTCCATGGAACATCTGAAATCATCCGCTTCGTTCTCTAGTGAACCCAGCAAACCACCACGGCATGCCAGTGATCCGTCTGATTGTGTTGAGTAATCAATAACTGCTGTATAGGGACAATCTGGCATTTTCAGTACGACCCTGTAGTACTGCAATCCAGACAAAAAAAACAGCCAGCCCTCCCTTTAAATTCGATGTTCGTGCACAAAGCGAACAGACATGCCAAGGTATAAGTTATGTGGTGTTCTATGTTCATATACATATTTATACACTTGTTCATGTGGTAAGAAAATCAGATCCCCAAAAGTTGTTTCACGGAACCTTGAACTCACCTTGCTGGTCACAACTGATTCCACCATCACAGGTGGGACTCCTTTTCACCCTCTGACTCTCAGGTCCCTTTCTTTTCTAGCATTGGCAATACCGGCCAGAAAGTAGGTTTCAAGACAGACCAATCCTCCCTTTTTGCCATTGAAAGAAAACACAAGAAACACTCGAACGTGGCAAGCCGCCTCACTGATCTATCACCTTTCTCCAAAAATGAGTTCAGGAAAAAAGAGAACATGAACACATTCTTAGAATCCTATAAGGTCTTTGAGACCAGCAAACAAACACCACCTGCACGCGAATCGAAACAAAACACAGTCAATCGCCGAAATCCACTCCTTCGCATCAATGATGGTCACCTCGGACCAAAGGGATCGAACGGCGCCCGATGGATCCGGGAAAGCGCTCGTGTGACGAGGACGACCAGCTCCGTCCGTGGAGCGAGACGTGACATGGGAGACCAGACAAGAGAGGACAGACCGAGACCCCCTGAGTTCGGTGAAGGGACATAGACCAGTCTACCTAGCGAGGGAGAACGATCAAAGGGGGTCTCCCTTTGTTGAAATACACAGCTGAGACTCGTGTGCGCAATGTTGTGGAGCTTGTTCATTGTTGCTGGAAGCTGCAGCTCTTAAAAGTTGCAAATGGCAAAAGGCCTTAAATAGAAAAGAATCGCATGTGAGGCAAGGGGTCAGAAAGCTGCAACTGAGGAAGGAACATGGCAGTTGTATGGTGTTGTATGAAATTTCTGTAGTAGCGCACCAGCTGTAGCCGGCAAAACAGCTGAAATTCAATATAAGATGACAAATGTACTTACTGCAATGACTGTATGTGCATACATATATGAAAAAATATTAAATATATATATATATAAAATATATGTTTAATGAATGGCTGATCGAAATCGTGTTACTACCACGCGACCACTACTAGAAACCACCACCACCACTGACCAGTACTGGTTCTACAACAACAGTACCTCACCCAGCCTTCCCTCTATTTTTGCCAAGCCACCAAGTAGTGACTTCCCAAGTCGCGGCCCGCCGCCAAGCCGGAGAAGCTTCCGCCGATGATCAGCACTCGGCGCCTCCAAGTGACCATTGACCAGATGACCTGTTGGGGACCAGATGACCTTTGTGGCGACCAGGACCATAGACTCCCCCCATAGATTTAAGAACATAAACAACATGACCATCATGAGGTCACTTGCAGTTAGAAGTGCAGTTAGACCACTGTCTTCTTAGCGAGTTTCTTTGACCCTCTGGGTCCCGACTAACTTGCCCGGCAAGTTAGGCAAGACTGGGTCAGATCCCTTTTGAGGGACCTGCCACCGAAACGCACCTGACTCCCGAGCCGTTTCCCTGGAAAATAAGGGTTATACTATATAACCTCCACAAGGAGAGGAACAACACCTGCCAGGTGTTGAGAGCTGCCAGTGAGAAAGCATGTGAAAGCACACACACATTCCATCATTACTTGTTCTTCACATCGGCTTCATGTTTCTTCTAAAGCGGTTCACGGAATCCGCGAGACCCACGTCCAGTGTCTCAGCCAGTCATCAGCTTGTTAAACAGATCAACTGAACCAGGTCGGTCACTATGTCATTGGCTTCGACGCTTCACGTGACGCTGCGACGCTCAAGGACCACGGGGGTTATACCTGACCACCCGGAAAAAGCCGGCGTTCCGCAGGGCTGGGTGGTGGCTGGCGGCTGCTCCCCGGAAAAAGCAAATACACTACAAAAACAAACAAACAAACAAACACACCCAAAAACTATATGCTGTATATGCGCTATGTATGCATACATACCCGCTACCCAACCATGAAGCAGCGTCCGTCACGAACTGCTTTCACCGGACGTGAAAAAACCACCCTCGGCTCCCCGGCTGTGAAGGAGGCATGGCGACGTTCGGGTCCAGAACGATCAAAAAATCTAAACCCCACTGTTCGAGCCCGGAGCGGGACCGCAGGTGACTCGCGGGTCGAGGTAGCCCGGTTCCAGAAGCTGTGAAGGAATGAAACAGTTCACGTAGTCACAAGAAGCCGCTCCAAGCTGTAGTTGCTAGTCACTGTTAGAAAGTACTGACCAGCAATCAAGTGATATGGACCTCCAATTCCGCCAAGGACCAAAGAACTTCATCCAAATCACAAGCAGGGCACATCGATGTCGACACGATCAGCAGAGAAAAGACTCACCCGACGGTCACCCTTACCGAGCTCGTGTGTTTGGCAGGGCCGCAGGCCGTAACTCACCCGGCACCGGCACCGATCCTCACGATCGTCTCGGTCGCACGTTGTTTCGCTTTTCTGAATCGATTGTCAAAACTTTGGTCGCTGGGAGCGTTGTTTCACAAATCCCCTTGAAGGGAAACCAAGCTCCGTGAAGGCTCAAGCCTTTTATTGAATCCAAGTGTGTGCACACTTGACAAACACGTAACTATAAGATATTGTACTGTATTATACAAAAATCCAACAATAAAATACTAATTAATTTACAGTATATAATATATAGCTTACTTTTTGATGTTTATTGTCAATGTCACATGTCTCACACATTGATCTGGAATCATCAAACACAACTTCTTGAGCCTAAATGAGGAGAAATTTATAAGATCGCATCATTCCCTTGATGACGGATCCCAGTTTCCGCTGAAAACAAGAAAGACTTTGCTAGTCTGCTACGCAAACTAATGCAAACTAGGCACATCAGCACAACTAGTAGGCTAGGAGTCTTACCTGCCTACATCTGCCAGAATTCTGGGATCCCCTAAGGCCCTAAGATACACTAGATTGCCGGCTGCCTTAACTGGCAGGTCGCGCTGCAGCGGGAGGGCTCAGTATCCCCAGCGTGGTCCACCTCCAAAGAGGTGCACAGGCGTGTGGTGGACGAAGTACCAAATGCAGCGGCCAATAAAGCCATAAGCGCACTCATCCTCAGTTTCGAGTCAAACATTGGACCCTGGAGCTTCGCAAAAATGCAAGTGATCATGCTTCTTTAGATATGCCTTGCGAGCCAGGAGTGGGTGCTTTGAACTCAAAGATTAAAACTGCACATCTTTGTAAGTCACTGGACAGCCAGAGGTGTACTCAATCCTCTTAAATTGTATAGAAAAAAGGGATTCATCATTCCCGATGGTTGTCCGACCAAACTGGTGGGTGGTCTTTTCTTCGTTTGTTCTTCGTTTGCCTCGTCTAACGGCTTCCTCTCGCTCGGACCCGACCTCGGACCCCGACCTCGGACCCACCGACTGCGTTCCGGTTCGCCCAGGTGGGTCTGTCCCAGCTCATCCCAGGTGGGTCTGCCCAGGGTATGCAGAATGATGCAGTATGTATCTAGCACCGACAAGTTGCTACCCCAAGAGCGGTGGAGATTCTGTAAGAACACTGTTGCACTTGTCCAAATATTAGAATCAAGATTCATCCAACCTTCATTAGGGCCACTCGCATTTGGTATATAGAGTTACTAGACCTCCCATTGAAGAGTCATCAGTCTTGGAGAAGAGGACACGCTGAGGCAGTGACCCGCTGAGGCTGTCCAAGCATCCGTCTTGGAGGCTTCAATGAACTCCTTCTGCACGGCGCAAACCTGACCCCAAACGCACATGAGGCCGGAGTTCTTCTGCCAATTGGCGCCAGCCACGAAGCAAGCGTCATCTGGGCCCAAGGATGTGGCGAACATCCCGGCACCCCATGGCCAGTGCATGTCCCAAACCTTCAATGGGTCTCCGCAGCAATCAACCGTCTTGCTCTGGAAGAGTAGCCTATCTATCTTCTCAATGTTGGTGCAGGCCACGATGCACATCTCCTCACCTGGGTAGGAGATCTTTGGGATGGGTGGAAGCGGCCAATCGTCTGGCTTCTTGCCTGCCTCTTCAATGCACCCATAGTTGCAATCGCCCACAGCATAGATTCGGGGGAAGCCCTTGTCATCCGCACCCCAAAGCTTGCCATCGCGAGTCTTGACGGACAAGTTCTGGTTCTAGGCCACGATTTGCACGTCAAAACACACAAGAGTCCAGTCAAAATGTGAATCCTGATTCATCTATATAGTTTATTCTAGTTTCTAGATTCTAGATGTTTCTAGGTCCAAGTCAAGACCTGGTAGTCTTTGGAACCTGTGGCTTATATATATATATATATAGTGGATGTATGGTATATAAGTGGATCCACTGGGTATGGTTTGGTAACGCAAACAATTCATGCGCCATTCCCTTGATTGAACACTGCATGCTGAGGACGCCGCCATCAGAATCCAACCTCCGCCACCAGGTCCCTTCTCGCTCAAGGTCTCCTTTGGCATGAAGTAGTTGGACGCCTTCACACCAATGCACACGTACTCCTTGTCGGGTCCACTAACCATATCAATGCTCTTCCAGAACTCAGGGTTCTTGGCATCGTACTTGGTGTTGTAGAACTGCTTGATGCCAACCTTGTTCATGTACTTCTCCTAAGTTCTGTGGCCACAGTGCTTTGCCTTGTGTGTGTGTTTTTTTGGTTGCGGCGGGTTGATTCTGAATGCCAGGACTGGACAAGACCCTCATGCAACTTCAATCCGCTGGAGTGTAAGCCAGCTTCGTCTCCCATGACCTTGCAACAAAGCTTCGTGTCGGGTCAGACCGGTTCCCGGCCTGGCGAAGTCGACTGCAGATTCGAGTCCAGGTCTCAGACTCCGTTTTCGTCGCCACGTGTTCCGGAGACTCAGGGGCCGTTTCGTCGCACGACACAGGGCCGCGACACTCGGTGTGCGACTCGGTTTCACGGCGTGTCGTTCGGCGTGTCGTTCACCTTTCAACCAGCTCCACTTGAAGAGTCTTGAGAACGACGCTGCAACGAGATCGAAACGGGCCAGGACATATAGTAGATGAATGTAAGATACTACAAAAAGCAGGTTCCATGGCTTGAGGCTTTATATGTGGCTTTATCCTGGAAAAGAACAAGCCGAAATGAATTGAATGCCGCAAAAAGAAAGCCACCCTCGGCCCGAAGCGCCAATTCGCCCCGAGCATCGCAATACTTCGCCGCTGTGGCAGGGAGGGGGCCCAAGGGCTGAGGCAAGAAATCGATGATGGTCAACTTCACCTGGGTGCCCAAAAACAGCGCCAAGATATGGTAACCCTTCCAATTTGGAGTCCTGAAATTGAATAGGTTAGGCCCCAGAAAGCCAGGAAGTAAGTAGACCCTCCATGTTTGGCGCGGAGGAAGAATGGAATTTTGTAGTCTGAATGACGACGAATAAAGGATTGATGATCAGTGGTCAAGACTTGACCTCAGAGTACGAATTCATGAGGGCCGAGCGCGTGTCTTGGGGGAATCAAGGGAGGCACCTTCCTATAGCTCAGGTTCAGGCACTAACTCCACTTCAGATACAGTAGTTTGTCAGGCTTAATTAATTCCTGTTCGGATGAGCTGGATTCTGGATTCCAAGGCCATGCCAAATCAGATGGTCTTCGACCCTCTGGTGTTCTTTCTTCGACCCTGTGGTGTTTTGGGATCAGCTTTGACCCGAACATCATCAGAAACACTGAGCAGTTCAGATCCCATGGCGACCTTGTGAGGCTTGTGAGGTTCATCTCCTCCAGGTCTGCATCCCAGGCACCCTGGGGAAAAAATGCCGAATCTCTGTGGCCCACTCCACGCCGATGAAGCCGGCGCCCACCACGAGAACCGTGGCCGACTTGTCATGGAGGCTCTTCAGAAAGTTGAACCTCAAATCATCTCGCATGCCACTGCGCGATGCTTGGGGCGCGATGCTTATGCTCCGCGAGGCGCGAGTATCGCAACTATATAGGTCTAACACTATTATAGTGGGTCTAGCATGTTCTACCACTTGCTGTCCAATACCATGTCACCAGGTCAACTGTGGGTCTTCGAGCTGTGAACTTCTGCCAGCCAAGTGTGAACTTCTGCCAGCTTGTCTTTCAATCAACAGCACCCAACACCCCTGGTCACAGGCTGTGAACATCAGTGCCGTCAAACCCAGCAAACCCACCGTCACTTCCTCTGCGTCCCTTGGGTTCTTTGACCGCCGACGCCTCGGTCTGTCGTTCCGGTCGCCAGGACCCGTTCTTCCGCGTACCGCAGCGCGGAAGGCGCGGAACCGCGACCCAGGCGCTCTTCCAGGACATGTCTGCGGCGGCCCTCCAAGTAGCGTTCATCCAAGTGCGGCCAGCTGCCTGCGCTCGGCTTTTCGCACCCAACGCAGTGCCCGCGGGTTTCGGCGAAGGTTTCGCCGGTTGGGTTTCGGATGTCCAAGGAAGTTCAAGCCACAAGCAGTCTAGGACACAAAGAGGCAGCAGTGGCCATGGCAAAGACTGAGTTTGAAGCCGCCCTCAAGTTGCGGCAGGTTTCGGCCAGTAACAGACACTCACTCAAGCCATACTAACACCGCGATGAGTGGAAGGGATGACTGTCAAATATCGGGCCCCGGGCGATGACCGACATGTCACAGGTCTGTCCGCCGACGGATCTGGAGATCACTTGTCAAAGGCAATGGCCTCCAACCTACTAGCGATGACCTCCAACCTAATAGCAATAGCCTCCATTCTCAATTGCAGAATTGCACGCTTCAAGATTTGTGACTCTGCCACTCTCGAGACAGACATTTGCAAGAAAGTGACCATCATTGTGTTCAGATGCGGCTCCAAATATCTCCAAATGAGTTTGTTTCAGGAGAAACCTTACGGGGACGCCAAACTGACGCATGCACTGGCCAGAAGCCTTGTCCTTAAAAGAATCTTCGCATGGGCCGCGATGCAGAGCATTGCACCACCTGGACCCTCGGATGGTTGTCTAAAAGAGAAGACGGATCATGGGTGCCATCCGGACCACGAAGGCCACAGGTAGTCGCCAAGAGGGCTGAGGGCGCTTTGGGTCATGAGGATGCTGCCATAGGAGCATGGATGACTAGAAGCATGGTGAACCGTTCCATCGTGGATCAGTGGTGTGTTTTGTTTGTAGCAAACTGAAGGTGAGCTTTGCTTCGCATCAGATGTGATGCGTGGTGGCAAGGGGCGGTGGGTCGGCCGGATCAGTCACTGATTCCAATTCTTGAGGTTGTCTGTCTAAACCAACAAACTTCTGGATCCAATGAGTTTCAAAAGTGTGAAAACTATCTTGGGCAACCTGGAAGGTTCCACAAAATACATATTGTACCAATGCTCCACAATATACGTATCAACTACATAAACACCATGTCCCAACCCAAACCTGAACAACCTCAATCCCAAACAAAGAACCCCAACCCTCGAAGGACGAGATTTGTTGGAGGGTGGGGACCGTGTTCTCGATGGCCTCCCTTCATTGCCGTTCTTCCAAAAAGCCAAGGGCTGGTCGAACAAGGGAAGGGTCGAAAAGGGCAAAAAAGGCTTCCAAGCCCACAGGCTTTGAAATGCTGGGAGAGCCTTGGTCCACCACTACGGACTACTGTTGATGCCAAATAAATGCTATTGAGCTCAGGCGCACACTTCCCCAGCAAAATTGGATGTGACCAAAGCCAACAAAAGGATACGAAAGACATTGGTCCTAGTTTACATCACCGCCACCACTTGCCCCCATGTAATCTGCGTGGTGTTTTAGACAAGATTGTTTTTCGAGGGCCTCTGAGGGCCCAAGATTTGTTGTAACCCATGCATGAGCCAAGCCAAGCCCTATATTCTATAGCATGATGTTAGCTGTAATTCGTTCACAAACCCTAGGCCCTAAGCCACCAATATTTCAGGTTGGCAGGTCTCCTTCGCAAAGGCCCACTCTCAGCGAGCCGCTTCACTCCAGCTGCCACCCAGCCGACCCGCCCACGACTTCAATTCCCTGTGCGCAACTGTTCAGCCTTCAGGTCGTGCTTCCTCATGGATGGTGGGAAACCACAGGGATTCGCCCCACCTAGGCCGAGACGTGTGCCCCACCTGGGTGTTCACATCATGGCCAGTCAACCAGTAGAGGGTTGGTTTGGATTTCGGGCCCATGCCCAGGGGGCAATGGTTCGATTGGTGACCCATCAGGTTGGTCCCGCACCTTGGATTCCTTTCTTACTCACGATGGGGCCTCCAACCTACTAGCAACGGCCCTACTCGGAGTCCTTATATACTGATTTGGGGCACCTTGGATGGTAGGTCCCAACTGCACCCTCACTGGGTGAGCGACCCAAAGCAAGGTCGACACCCGAAGCTCCGCGCGATGAAGGACGACGAAGTGGGGTCTGTTTGGGGGTGGATCTGTCCGTGGAAATTTGGGTTTCAGATGAAGAATACAAAGCCGGACCAAGGCAAAAGAAGAAATGGACCCAGACCAATTGAGTGGTTTTATGTTTGGGGTGGAAACTGGGGAGCATGTATACGCGAGTGCCTACGCCAGAGGTCAAAAGTGCGTGAGGTAGCCTATGCGAGGGCTTTGTCGAGGCATCTACGCGTTCGACATCGGTCGACTATGATTCCCCAAGCAGAACAGCCTACGCAAACTTCCGCCCCCACGCAGAACAGCCTATGCAGCATCAAGAGCAGATCCACCTTTGTATAAACTCCTTCATAGACTAATATTAGGCAAAAAAAGAAACGCTACTCAATTCACATCACCAGTCATCGTCATAACCAAGTTGTTTCACGGAGCAAGTGGATCGCCTCTCCAAGATGGTGGCTCAAAAAGAATTGATGTCCACTCCCTAATTACAAGTCCAAATACCCAATAAAACCAGGTCTCTTACCTCCTTGAGTAGTGTTGGTCCAGTTCAATGAGGTCTTTGACCTGTAGGGACTAGTCTTGACAGGTCTTCATTGAGAAGTAGCACAAGCCGATGTTGCTTTGGTCCTTTTTGAAGTCCCATGAGGGCCCCAAGTCCGTAGTTCTTCCAAAGACGGATATAAAACTCACCAAAGGGACTGAACTGAATGTTTTGTCCATTTCATGTATGTTCAACAAACTGAGGATCCCAAGTCTGCTCAACACCTGATAACGCGCAAATCGTCGTTAGCTTGGCTCAGAACGCTGAAGTGTTGGGGAACCCAAGGGACACCAAAAATCCGGAAAACACATACAAATAAAATCAAATAACAATAATAATAGTAGTAATATTATTAATAATCTATAATAATATATGTATATGTATATATATTATCCAAATTTTTGCGCCATCCGTTGGGCGGCGATCACCCTGTAAAGCCCCAAGCGAAGTGGTGGGTCTGGTCAAAAATGGTGAGAGCGGCAGTCCATTTGATATCGTCTCCCCTATGGATCCACATACCCTCTGACAAGGTAGTTGGAGACACTTTCATGTAGGTACCTGGAGGCGTGGATCCCTTGAGCTTTATATCGCCCACCAAGCGGCTTATGGAACGGCCCGAAGTTGCAACCAGCTGCAATGATGCAATAGTCGAAGTCAATGGTCTCCTGGATTCTCGACACGGCCCGAAGAAGGGCAACCCGAACACCAAACCCAACCACTGGACGAGAGGTTGT